GGAGTGGTGTCCTGGTTGACTGAGCCTGGGTCTGTGTCTGGGAGTGGTGTCCTGGTTGGCTGAGCCTGAGTCCTGTGTCTGGGAGTGGTGTCCTGGTTGACTGAGCCTGGGTCTGTGTCTGGGAATGGTGTCCTGGTTGGCTGAGCCTGAGTCCTGTGTCTGGGAGTGGTGTCCTGGTTCACTGAGCCTGGGTCTATGTCTGGGAATGGTGTCCTTCCTGGTCCAGCTTGGGTTGCAGGACTTTATATGGGGTCGGGGGTTCTGCTCTGTGCCACCTGAACCTCAGGGGCAGGGAATTTAGCTTCTGGAAGGAAAAGAGAAGTTATGTCAACCAAAGGGACCCGGGGCAGGCAGGCACTAAGAGCTCTGGCCACTCTCCCAGTGTTTTAGGTCACCTCAGCGTTTCCTTGACATAAAGGAGATGTCTGCCTGTGCTGTCTGCATTGCTTCTGTTTCCTTAGATTCCCTGCAGTGAAGTTCCCAAGCCAAAAGCTGTTGGTACAGGCTACAAATTGCTTCTAAGAATTTATACCAATTAACAGTCCGGCAAGGAATATATCACAGTGCTCACTCTGGGCTGAGTTTGATAGTAAAAAGAATATTGTGTCTTTATAATTGGCAATTTTTAGGTTACTAGTAACGGTGAAAAGTTTTTAGTAGATTTTTTTTCTTTGTGAACTGTCGGTTTGTGTTCTTTACCCAGTTATCTTTTGGGGATCCGTTTATTTTATATATATATATTTTTTTTTTTTGCAGTATTGGGGATCAAATCCAAGGCCTAACTCATGCTAAGCACAGATTCTGTAATTGAGCTTATTCCCAGACCTTGAGGATCATTTTAAAAGTTGATGTTGGTAAACGCTAGATGTTAAGTATGTGAATTACTCAACTTGGTGCCAATTCCTGGTTTGTTTGTTTTTAAAACAAAGGTGGGCACAGGGGTACACACCTGTAATCCTAGCTACTCAGGAGGCTGAGGCAGGAGGATAGCAAGTTTGAGGCCAGCCTCAGTAACTTCACAGAGCCTTAAGCAACTCAAAATAAATGAAAATCTCTGGTATGTGCCTCAGTTGCACCCCTTGGTTTAATCTCCAGTACAAAAACAAACAAACAAACAAAAAACCTCATAGATTTTCACATTTCTATAGCAAATTTAAATAGCTTAATAATTTCTCTAAACTTTATTCTGTTCCTGTTTGACAAGTATCAATTCTGATTTTCTTCCATTTTTATGGCTTGCTTTTTCACTCTTAAACTCCTCAGTCCATTTGGAAAGCACTTGTGCATGCTATTATCCCTTCCTTCATGGACTTTAGAACTGAGATCTCTTAGTCCAGCTGTGAACCCAAATCTGAACTTGGATTTCTCGACAGTAGGGAGGACATTGAGTTGGCGCTGCTCCTTGGCCCGTGTGGCCGTCAGCGGGACAGGGGACCGGGGACGGCAGCTGGCAGGGAACCTGGCAGGGAACCGAGGCCCTGCAGTCTTGCTCCTAGCTGAAGCCTCAGGTCCCCCGGGGAAGCCTCGACCAGCCCTCAACATCCTCTCCGCCCGCTGCTCAGAGTGTGTCAATGCTGTGACCCAAGTGGGCTGGCCGTGCCCCGGGCCTCCCCGTGGAGCCTCTGCCTGGGCCCAGGCCCCTCCGGCCAGCGTCTCCCACCCTCAGGAGCATGTTGTCCTTGACAGCAGGGGCTCAGGGGCTCTGCCGCTCCTGCCCTGTCACACCAGTGTCAATACTCCGTCCCGTGTCACGGCCCCTGTGAACGGGAAACACATGTTTTGCTTGCCAACTTTCTACTTAAAAGTTTAGTGAATATAGTGAAAAGTGGAGGTTGACCTAACTTGCTCTGTGACTTAGAATAAAGTCATTTATTTTGGTGAAAGCACATTTAAGCCCAAGCTTGGCAAACCTCATTGAGACTTCAGAAGTCAGGCTCCAATAAGGAGCGAATCCCTGTTCCAGGCTTGGGTGGAGGTGCCTGCTGCACTGTGGATGGTCCATACAGGAGCCGCAGGTTGGGGCTGGGTGCAGCTCAGAGGTGCAGAACTTGTGTGTGAGGCCCTGGGTTCAATCCTCAGCTCCCCACTTTCCGCCCAGAGCGGGAGAGGAGAAGCAGCAGAGGATGTTGAGAAAGTCAAATGTCGTGGCTTTGTGTTTTAGACCTGAGGGACGGCATCTGTATATTCTGGAAACCTGGTAGTGGGATGCTGTTCAAAGTGCTTGGTGGGTGAGGGAGGAACAGCTCAGTGACTCATCTCTCCTGAGAAAAGGCTTTGACGCTGCGCACAGTCAGCCAGCGCCTCTTAGGTTGGTCCTAGACCTTAGGCTTTAGGTGTGCTAGTGTCCCCGCTGTCCCCCACGATGGCAGGAGGCTGAGGCAGCCGGAGCCCGGGGTGAGCAGCGTCCTGTGCCTCCTGTCTGAGATCTCACTCGAGGCGTTTCCTACCTCGTACTTTTGCTTCCGGGGCTCGGGAGCCTGAGGGGTGAAGCAGAGGGGAGCCCTGGGCTGTGGGAGGAAGGCCCCTGGTGGCGGGC